AACATGGGAAGTAGCCAGGCCTGGTAGTTACCAGTGTACACATTTTGGCAATTCAACCCCCCAGCCTTCATCCACAACCCCAAACTTGAGGTGAAGCATATAGATGTTGTAATTTACATATAAAGCTAAGCTCAACATTAGCTGAACACGTATTTTTTTTATGATGAATTTGTGCTGATTCATTCCATTGCAACTTGATTTCCCTCTTGACTCATTTGCAAAATAGATGTGACCAGCATCTTTTTTTAATGCCTGTGATTGCGTCCGTTCTTGTTAGGAGAAGCGCCAACATTTATCGGCTGGGTGGAGAGTTAGCAAATAGAGAATAGTGTCGGATTGGGGAGTTTTTAAAAGATCTCTTTAAAGTGGTAATGTGATTTTTTTTGTGGTCCCCACCATGAAGAGTGTTATAGTCCTGTTGGGAGGTAAAACGATACATAACATAGGTCAGATTTTTATTAAATGTTCAACCTAAAATTGATGAGTTTGTGGAGACTGGGGATACTTGGATTATAGATTTAATCTGCAAGTCAGGATTTGCAACATTTAATTGAGTTTGTCGTTTGAAACCTGGGATATTTCTGTAACAATAGGCATATACAGTAGTACTGTACTACTTAGTGATGCTTTCTTTCAAGCAGTATTTTTGGTGCAGCCATTCTTTTCTGCTTTGATAAAAGTGATGAGTGATGAGCAGGAATGCAAAGTAAGCAGCTGTAAGAACTGCTTTCTCCCAGTTTCACGGTCTTGTGACTGGACCCTCACTGGTTAAAGCTGTTAACCTTTTCTAGATGTCATTGTCAGATGTTTTTTGTTTTCTGTTTTTCTTTTTCCACTTGTTTTCTTCCTTAGGTCTTTTAATTTACTTTTTAGGTTTACTCTTTAAATAACAGGAAGAGCTAATTTTTCACCTTGGCTTTTGTCTTGTGTAATTAATGGTATGATCCTTTTGGACTCTCAGTGAATTTAGAGCTAGTATTACTTAGCTGTGGAATTTTCTTTAGGTAAGCCAATATAATTGAGATTTCACACTAGCCAGCTGGATGACTAATTGAAATATAACTACCATTTCCTGAATTCCCACTATGTGCTATACCTTGTGCTGGCAGTTTAGTGCTTATTATAGTCCTATGAATAAATTGTGGTTATGTTTGTTTTATGGACAAAGAAGTTAAGGAACACGTCTAAGGTCACATAGCAGAGGTGAGATTCAGACTCCTAAACCTATTCTCTTTCTGTCTTTTCTTTACATTAGATTATTAAGGGTCCACAAAGAGCCACACAGATTGCTTCTGATTCCAGTCATTAAATATAATTTTTTTCCCCTAATTTTCAGAGTACCATTTCAAAATTTTGAAGTCATCTCCAGGAAGTTAAAACACAGTTTACTTTTATTTTTTAGTTGAAGCTAGTGGAAACATGGAATGGTTATGATTTCAGTATTTGTTAGTGCTTTTAAGTCTCAGCTGTTGGCTGAATGCCTCATAGCCTGTCCAAAAGGAAGGTACTTCTGCCCCTTTTTCCAATTAAAAAAATTAACTTAAAGGTCAAATATGTCTAAGTCTTAATGGTGAATGTTTAGATTTTCCTCTGTTCCCTTCACAGTTCCTTCAGTCAGAATGTAGAATGTAGGTCACTGTGTTTACCCAAGTTTAGCATTTACAAAATGTCAACTTTTTAAGAAAGTATTTTTTCAAGGTTATAAAATTAATGGGAATTAAGATGTATGTAGTTTTATATCTGGCCTTTTCATAATTAAGTATGAACATACTTTCATATCCTTAAAAATATACTTTTAAAGACTCTAACCTTCCATTTCATGGATCCAGTGTAATATATACATTTTTTTCTGTTGTTGGACACTTAGGTTGTTTTCAGTTTTTCCACACTATACAACAGTGATAAACACAGGTACATAAGTCTTTGTCCTCATTTCTGATTGTTTTCTTAAGATTAATTTTGGAAAGTAAAAAGTGGATAATGTGGTATTAACTTTTTAAATGTACAATTTAAGAAACATACTTCTCCTATTTTTCTTTTTTTGGACAATGAAGTTCTTGAGGGTCAGGGGCTGTTCTTTGTGTATGAGCAAATTGGAAGTTGTGCCGTCCTAGCTAACACCTCCCACTGCAGTGACTGTGGTCCCTCAATTCCTCAAAAAAGGGAGGAATGAAAACCGTAGGAACCGAAGAACTAGATGCAAGTAATGCAATTTACTAAATTGTTAAGGAGCTCTGTTGTTGAAACCCAGTGTAAACTTTATAATATAGATCCCACATTTTCCATTCAATCAAAGTTCTTAATAAATCTTTCCAAACTGAAAGAAAAAAATCCTATTATATACAGAATCATCTTTTTATTAGAACTATTTTAACATGCCATTGTGGGAACCATACTGTGTCTCAGATCACTATATCCTCCACTTTACTTTGCTATTAAAGGAAAACTAGCAGATGTACAGTTAGCACTTTTTTCCCCAAAGTTCTTCACTTTCTGATAAAATATTTGAGGAGCTATATTTGAGTACTTGCTCATTGTTAAGCATCTCATCACATTTGCTTGTGTTTAAAAATGTCTTGGTTTTCTCTTGGGGTTTATAGTCATTGGAATTTTTTTCTTAGCTTAGTTATGATAACATTATTGTAAAATTATAGTATGTCAGTTAGCTCCAGGGGTGGAGCTTTCTATTCTAGAGGATAGTACTTGGATGAAGACAATTATTAGTTAGGACTGGCACATATTAATAGAACAATGTTGTGGTTCATTGAGCAGGGTTTCTCAGAATTTGTTTCAACTGTCATTTGAAAGGAGTTTTGACAGTTGGAATGCTCAAGAACACAAACAAATGCATATTGAAACAAAAAAAGTAAATGGATACATAAGCTTGAAAATTTCAGTTTGTAATATTAAAAATTTTTTTAAATTATTTTAAGTGGTATTTTAGTAGAGTTATAGCAAAAGAAAAGTAGTACTTAGCTGTTAAAATTGTTTTGAAGCTGTCACAAAGATGCAGTAGGTGTTTTTCTTTGACTTGACTTCGTATATGAAATAATTTAGGATACACTGGGTGAGCTTGTTACTTAAATGAGATTTCCAGAAAGTTTGTTCATTATTATAGCAATGTAGTGTTTTTTATAGAAATGTCATGTTTCATATGTAAGTGGGTTTTATGTGTAAATGAGGGACTGGCTATACTTTTCACTTAAGTCAGCAGTGTCTAGAAAAGCATAAAAATGGAGATTAGTAGAGTTTATGCTCTGGTTCTAATACTAGGTATAATCCTTATGTCTTCACATGCTTCAGTTTCATTCTCAAATAGATGACAATGCCTAGCTTTTCTATCACAACTGTTATTTCGAGGCTTAGGTAATATTGCAGATGTGAAAGTATTTTGAAAAAAGCTGAAAAATCTTACCAATAAGAGGTTTTAATTTTAATTTTTGGAAAACCCAATCTTTAATTCTTTGTTTATATCTCTTCCTGCTGGGATATGGACTAATATCTCTGAAATTCATCCTTGCCCATTTCATTTTCTGTTCAGCCTTGACATTTCTGATTCACAACCAGTCTTTATTCCTTTCTTACTGATCCTTCTCCTTATAAGGATCAACAGTATAATCTCCAAGTTTTTGACAGGTTTGGTAGAAAATACTATTTGTATTATATGGCTGCATTTTATAATTTAGGGGTATGTACTGTACCCAGAGTGATTTATAGTACAAAACGTTCTGCATACAGCTTAATTGTCAATGTTGTATTTATACTTGATATTTCACTTAAACAATTTATAACTACTGAAAGTACACTTTGCCCTTATTTCAGTTTTATCAACTACTGTCAGACATTACTACCGACACTTTTCCAAATTCTACATTTAACAGTGTTGTCTTATTTAAATTTTAGTGGAGGAAATAGGTAACACTGAATGAGTGCACCTAAAAGCCATGGATCTGGCCTTAATTTTTGAAGTTAAAAAAATGACAATAGATATAATAAAATAGCACTTTGGAATCTTGGGTTTTTAAAAAACAAATACAGACCTGTCATTCTTGATGATAAGATGTCACTAAGCTATGGCTTCATGGAATCATGTTTGGAGGTTTTAGCCTGCCTTTATTTTTATTTTCATTTAGTGTTACTTTGTTTTAGGTCTTCTAAGCATACAACTGAATTTGGTTTATTCAATTTGAGAGTATTTGTTTTTTAACAGGAAGTTAATCTCTGTTCAGTATGACTGCTGACATACTTAGACACATTTCTACCATCTTATAGTTCTATTTATAGTGCTTAGCCTTTTGTGTTTTCTGTTGGATTTTTCTCTTTATTCTATGTTTTTCTCAGCTAATTTGAAAGTTAGTTACCATACTATTGTTTTGGTGTTTGCCTTCAGTTTTTTTATTGGGGTATAATTTACATTCAGTAAAATTTATGTTCTTTCTGGTGTATAGCTATATGTGTTTTGGCAAATATAATCACATCATCATCACCACCATCATGATATAGAACAGTTTCATCACCTCCAAAATTTCTTTGTGCTCTTGTAGTCAACTGCTCTCTACCACCCCCACCCCCCCAGTCTTTGGCAACTACTGACTTTTCTGTTCCTATAATGTGAAATTTTCCAGAATATCATATAAATGGAATTATACAGTGTTTTGCTTCTTTCACTTAGCATACATCATTTGACATTTGTCTTAGCCTGTTCAGCCTACTGTAACAAAATACCATAAACTGGGTGGCTTATAAACAACAAATTAATTTTTCTGCTGGCTGGAGGGTTCAAGATCAAGATGCTGGCACATTCAGTGTCTAGTGAGGGCCCATTTCTTGGTTTGTGGATGGCCTCTTTTCACTGTAACCTCCCATAGCAGAATGGGTAAGGTAGCTGTGTGAGAGGATCTTTTGTAAGAGCCCTAATCCCTTTCAAAAGGGCTCTTACCCACATGACCTGAGAGCATCCCAAAGGCCCCACTGCCTAATACCAACATTGGNGGATACACGCTCAGGGAAATGGCGGAGATGGGGGAGGGGAAACCGGGCAACGTTCCCTCTGAGAATCGGCCAACCACCAAGTAGCCCCCAAACATCTCCCTCAAGCTGAAGAATTGGTCTCCGCTCCTCGCCCACATGCACCGCTGGCCCAGACCCGCTCCTCACCGCGCGAAGCCACCGTCCCTGTGCAGCCGCACCGCCTCAGACCGTCACAGCCAGACAGAGAACGAGCGCAGGCCCCCGCCGCCCTCCACCGCCTCCCCGCGCTCCTACCCCGCCGCTGTGCCCGATTGGTTGCCCCGGCTTCAACGGTGGCGCGAGGGCGAAGCGATTGGCCCAAGGCCGTGTCTATCAAAGCGCCGGAGAAGGCAACGGCCCCGCCTACCGCCGGCACCTCCCTTCAGGCTGTTGAGGCCGCTAAAGGCCCGAGAAAAATCGGGCTTGGAAAGTCAGCGCAGTCTTTAGGAGGCCAAACCCCTGCCTGAAACCATATAACCCTAGCCCTAATAGCCCCAGTTACCTATACGCCGCAAAAAAGCGAGACGTAGGCAAGACGTCGAGGTTGCTGCAGCGGAGAAACAGAAGATAATGGCGTCTGCAGCGCTTTCGCCTGGAGCGCCCTCCTCCTTTCTCTTTCGCGCACTCAATAGCTGGGGGGAGGGGAAAACCTCTCGCGAGAACTAAGGCTGCCTCGTTCACGCGCACAGGAGGAGGCGGAGAAGGGGCGTTTTCGGGACGCGGAGGAGTCTTTTAGGCTTGGAGGAGGGGCGTGAGCGCGCTGCAAATCCGGCGGGAAGAGGCAAACAAGGAGTAGGGCGCGCGCCGTGGTGGTTTCTGCGTTCCCAGTCGCGCGCCCCAGGAATCGCTGTTGCGCGAGGAAGGCGGGATCCCCCAGGTCGGTGCTAGGCCCAGACGAATGCCTTATCTCCACAGTCCACACTTGGGTCTCTCACCCTGCCCGCACCCTCTCTTGCCCTGGTTGCCGGCTGCGAGGCGGGCTGCGCGTTGGTAAGTGCAGCCTGCCCGCCGCTGGCCCTGTCCACGCCGCGGAAACCTGCTGTTCGTAACGGGCTGCGGAGCCCGTCAGGCATGTTCCAGGCCCGGGGTGCAGCTATCGATTCGCGCCCCGCGGTCCCCCGCCTGTTCGGGCGGGCACCCAGGAAACGCAGGCTGGTCCGCCGGTTTGTCTCCTAGTTCTAGAGAACTTGCTCCTTTTGGGGACATTCCGGCCCAGAGTCCGCACGCCCGGGAGAGCCGATGGGTCTTTCCAGGGCCCAGACCTTGCATTTTTACCTACTTTCTTAGTGGGACACGTAATGCGAGTGTTGTCTAGTGTCTTCGCTGCAGTTACATCTGAAAAATTTCCGGAAGTATTGTATTCATCTCTTAAAACGAATGCAAATCGCAAAATAAGTTTTAGACATCCGCTTTCGGTTCATTTAACTCTAAAGCTTCTATGGTGTGTTGGTGTTCGAGAGATTAAAACACACCCAAAACCTCGACCTCAGATGTTACCGTTCTACGTATTCCGTTGATACTTGCTTATAGTGTTCAGTGATTTCTAAGGCCCCTGTGCCAAGCTTTGATTGTTTCTTTTGTTAAGGCACGTAAGGTCAATTCCAATCGCTGACAAACATGGGAAGTAGCCAGGCCTGGTAGTTACCAGTGTACACATTTTGGCAATTCAACCCCCCAGCCTTCATCCACAACCCCAAACTTGAGGTGAAGCATATAGATGTTGTAATTTACATATAAAGCTAAGCTCAACATTAGCTGAACACGTATTTTTTTTATGATGAATTTGTGCTGATTCATTCCATTGCAACTTGATTTCCCTCTTGACTCATTTGCAAAATAGATGTGACCAGCATCTTTTTTTAATGCCTGTGATTGCGTCCGTTCTTGTTAGGAGAAGCGCCAACATTTATCGGCTGGGTGGAGAGTTAGCAAATAGAGAATAGTGTCGGATTGGGGAGTTTTTAAAAGATCTCTTTAAAGTGGTAATGTGATTTTTTTTGTGGTCCCCACCATGAAGAGTGTTATAGTCCTGTTGGGAGGTAAAACGATACATAACATAGGTCAGATTTTTATTAAATGTTCAACCTAAAATTGATGAGTTTGTGGAGACTGGGGATACTTGGATTATAGATTTAATCTGCAAGTCAGGATTTGCAACATTTAATTGAGTTTGTCGTTTGAAACCTGGGATATTTCTGTAACAATAGGCATATACAGTAGTACTGTACTACTTAGTGATGCTTTCTTTCAAGCAGTATTTTTGGTGCAGCCATTCTTTTCTGCTTTGATAAAAGTGATGAGTGATGAGCAGGAATGCAAAGTAAGCAGCTGTAAGAACTGCTTTCTCCCAGTTTCACGGTCTTGTGACTGGACCCTCACTGGTTAAAGCTGTTAACCTTTTCTAGATGTCATTGTCAGATGTTTTTTGTTTTCTGTTTTTCTTTTTCCACTTGTTTTCTTCCTTAGGTCTTTTAATTTACTTTTTAGGTTTACTCTTTAAATAACAGGAAGAGCTAATTTTTCACCTTGGCTTTTGTCTTGTGTAATTAATGGTATGATCCTTTTGGACTCTCAGTGAATTTAGAGCTAGTATTACTTAGCTGTGGAATTTTCTTTAGGTAAGCCAATATAATTGAGATTTCACACTAGCCAGCTGGATGACTAATTGAAATATAACTACCATTTCCTGAATTCCCACTATGTGCTATACCTTGTGCTGGCAGTTTAGTGCTTATTATAGTCCTATGAATAAATTGTGGTTATGTTTGTTTTATGGACAAAGAAGTTAAGGAACACGTCTAAGGTCACATAGCAGAGGTGAGATTCAGACTCCTAAACCTATTCTCTTTCTGTCTTTTCTTTACATTAGATTATTAAGGGTCCACAAAGAGCCACACAGATTGCTTCTGATTCCAGTCATTAAATATAATTTTTTTCCCCTAATTTTCAGAGTACCATTTCAAAATTTTGAAGTCATCTCCAGGAAGTTAAAACACAGTTTACTTTTATTTTTTAGTTGAAGCTAGTGGAAACATGGAATGGTTATGATTTCAGTATTTGTTAGTGCTTTTAAGTCTCAGCTGTTGGCTGAATGCCTCATAGCCTGTCCAAAAGGAAGGTACTTCTGCCCCTTTTTCCAATTAAAAAAATTAACTTAAAGATCAAATATGTCTAAGTCTTAATGGTGAATGTTTAGATTTTCCTCTGTTCCCTTCACAGTTCCTTCAGTCAGAATGTAGAATGTAGGTCACTGTGTTTACCCAAGTTTAGCATTTACAAAATGTCAACTTTTTAAGAAAGTATTTTTTCAAGGTTATAAAATTAATGGGAATTAAGATGTATGTAGTTTTATATCTGGCCTTTTCATAATTAAGTATGAACATACTTTCATATCCTTAAAAATATACTTTTAAAGACTCTAACCTTCCATTTCATGGATCCAGTGTAATATATACATTTTTTTCTGTTGTTGGACACTTAGGTTGTTTTCAGTTTTTCCACACTATACAACAGTGATAAACACAGGTACATAAGTCTTTGTCCTCATTTCTGATTGTTTTCTTAAGATTAATTTTGGAAAGTAAAAAGTGGATAATGTGGTATTAACTTTTTAAATGTACAATTTAAGAAACATACTTCTCCTATTTTTCTTTTTTTGGACAATGAAGTTCTTGAGGGTCAGGGGCTGTTCTTTGTGTATGAGCAAATTGGAAGTTGTGCCGTCCTAGCTAACACCTCCCACTGCAGTGACTGTGGTCCCTCAATTCCTCAAAAAAGGGAGGAATGAAAACCGTAGGAACCGAAGAACTAGATGCAAGTAATGCAATTTACTAAATTGTTAAGGAGCTCTGTTGTTGAAACCCAGTGTAAACTTTATAATATAGATCCCACATTTTCCATTCAATCAAAGTTCTTAATAAATCTTTCCAAACTGAAAGAAAAAAATCCTATTATATACAGAATCATCTTTTTATTAGAACTATTTTAACATGCCATTGTGGGAACCATACTGTGTCTCAGATCACTATATCCTCCACTTTACTTTGCTATTAAAGGAAAACTAGCAGATGTACAGTTAGCACTTTTTTCCCCAAAGTTCTTCACTTTCTGATAAAATATTTGAGGAGCTATATTTGAGTACTTGCTCATTGTTAAGCATCTCATCACATTTGCTTGTGTTTAAAAATGTCTTGGTTTTCTCTTGGGGTTTATAGTCATTGGAATTTTTTTCTTAGCTTAGTTATGATAACATTATTGTAAAATTATAGTATGTCAGTTAGCTCCAGGGGTGGAGCTTTCTATTCTAGAGGATAGTACTTGGATGAAGACAATTATTAGTTAGGACTGGCACATATTAATAGAACAATGTTGTGGTTCATTGAGCAGGGTTTCTCAGAATTTGTTTCAACTGTCATTTGAAAGGAGTTTTGACAGTTGGAATGCTCAAGAACACAAACAAATGCATATTGAAACAAAAAAAGTAAATGGATACATAAGCTTGAAAATTTCAGTTTGTAATATTAAAAATTTTTTTAAATTATTTTAAGTGGTATTTTAGTAGAGTTATAGCAAAAGAAAAGTAGTACTTAGCTGTTAAAATTGTTTTGAAGCTGTCACAAAGATGCAGTAGGTGTTTTTCTTTGACTTGACTTCGTATATGAAATAATTTAGGATACACTGGGTGAGCTTGTTACTTAAATGAGATTTCCAGAAAGTTTGTTCATTATTATAGCAATGTAGTGTTTTTTATAGAAATGTCATGTTTCATATGTAAGTGGGTTTTATGTGTAAATGAGGGACTGGCTATACTTTTCACTTAAGTCAGCAGTGTCTAGAAAAGCATAAAAATGGAGATTAGTAGAGTTTATGCTCTGGTTCTAATACTAGGTATAATCCTTATGTCTTCACATGCTTCAGTTTCATTCTCAAATAGATGACAATGCCTAGCTTTTCTATCACAACTGTTATTTCGAGGCTTAGGTAATATTGCAGATGTGAAAGTATTTTGAAAAAAGCTGAAAAATCTTACCAATAAGAGGTTTTAATTTTAATTTTTGGAAAACCCAATCTTTAATTCTTTGTTTATATCTCTTCCTGCTGGGATATGGACTAATATCTCTGAAATTCATCCTTGCCCATTTCATTTTCTGTTCAGCCTTGACATTTCTGATTCACAACCAGTCTTTATTCCTTTCTTACTGATCCTTCTCCTTATAAGGATCAACAGTATAATCTCCAAGTTTTTGACAGGTTTGGTAGAAAATACTATTTGTATTATATGGCTGCATTTTATAATTTAGGGGTATGTACTGTACCCAGAGTGATTTATAGTACAAAACGTTCTGCATACAGCTTAATTGTCAATGTTGTATTTATACTTGATATTTCACTTAAACAATTTATAACTACTGAAAGTACACTTTGCCCTTATTTCAGTTTTATCAACTACTGTCAGACATTACTACCGACACTTTTCCAAATTCTACATTTAACAGTGTTGTCTTATTTAAATTTTAGTGGAGGAAATAGGTAACACTGAATGAGTGCACCTAAAAGCCATGGATCTGGCCTTAATTTTTGAAGTTAAAAAAATGACAATAGATATAATAAAATAGCACTTTGGAATCTTGGGTTTTTAAAAAACAAATACAGACCTGTCATTCTTGATGATAAGATGTCACTAAGCTATGGCTTCATGGAATCATGTTTGGAGGTTTTAGCCTGCCTTTATTTTTATTTTCATTTAGTGTTACTTTGTTTTAGGTCTTCTAAGCATACAACTGAATTTGGTTTATTCAATTTGAGAGTATTTGTTTTTTAACAGGAAGTTAATCTCTGTTCAGTATGACTGCTGACATACTTAGACACATTTCTACC